GGGAATGGAACCCCCAACCCTGGAGGTGCGAGGCAAGCGTGCTAACCAGAAGTCTCGAAACTTTTTTCGGGAAGTTGTGAGCAACCCTATACAATATATCACATTATACAATATATAACATGTATTGTCGAAATGCCTTCAAGAATCGTGATATGATATTTTTGTCATATCTCCCACATCTAGTTGCAGATAAATACCCGTTAAAGCCTAGGTCCAGGTCAGACCTACATTCCACACTCTCGTAACTACACACCTTCCCTATTAGTTTGAGTGGAATAAATAGTTTGTAGTAGTTACTTACTGAGTCACACACTCGAAGATGTGTGCAATGTGCAGTAACTTTTTTTTTTTGCTGGCACTACGCAATATTAAATTGTCCAGAACGGTGTGCAGCGTAGATGACGGAAAGATCTATGTAGCATCAACGATACGGGATGAAAGACTTGAGGAAGTGCTGTTAGAGGTGGTGTGATGCAGCCTGATGCTAAACAGAGCTACTCGTACAACCCTACAAAAATTGATTATATTTCCATAACAGCACGTCCCTAAGTCCTTTATTCCTCTTATACCACAGCAATTTGCCAGCAGTGACATTTTTATTAAGTAGAGAATGACACATTGTACTTTTTTATCCATTTAAAGTTACATTTAATGCTCTAAAACCTCCACAAGACAATTTAGTTATCATTTGTTATCACTTACGTTATAGGAGGCAAAAACAGTCGTTTTCTCACCAGCCTCACTTTTTTCACTCTCTTGAAGTTAATAAGACAAAAAGACGCAGCTTGTCATGTTCCCAAGAAACCACAAAGTGCAATTTCCTGTCCTGAAGTCTTTCCCATGGCGTAAATCTGACATACAGTTAGCGCTGACACTGGAGACTCCTTCTGTAAATGTTAAATAAGCATCTTCTTACAGAAAGCTTCGCCATATCAATGATTCCAAGTTTTTCTTGTTAGATAACAGCACATTTTGAATCTGTTTATTATTTGCCTTAGAGTATGTTTAATGTCCCCATGAATGAGCTGTTACTACAGAAACGATCATGTATAAGAACCAGCACATTAATTTAAACCTGTGATTTGCTTTGCAACCAGAATTACTGTCAGATGTGCTGTTATAGAAAATGAATCAACACCTTTTGACTGATCAGAATCGATCAGTTTCATCAGTATCAGTATCATTTTCATTCAAGCACTAATAAACTGGAAAACATTAAAACTATTATTATTTGTTTTTACAAGACTTTGTTTTAAACCAGAAATAATAATTTTATGCATAAGCCTATGGAGAAGTCAGATTAAGACACTTCAGCGCTGTGGATTCAATGACGTGATTGTATACACATATGTACACATTTAAATCTGTGAGTGGAAAAGCAATTAATCTCTGATATAAAAACTAGATAAGAGTAAGATGGACTAAAACCGAAATGGAATAAGATGCTCATGGGTGGAGAAAGAATAAAAAAGAAAGGGATTGGCATTTTTTGGAGTCAGATAAGACGAGTGCAGTGAAAGGAAAAACTATCCAAACACAGATTCCTGCTGTGCTCTGGGAAGAGCATGAGAACATATCAATCTCTCTCTCTCTTCCCTCTCTCTCTCACTACACTTTCCTTTCTCTTACTCTCACTCTCTCTTTCTAACATGCTCTCTCTCTCTCTCTCATGCTACTTGACGGATTTTGCAGCCACAAACGTCCATCTTTTCAGCTACGCAAATAATCCCTGCTTTCATATCGCTTTAATAACTCCACAGAGAATCCTGAATTTTACCTTGACCTGCATGCCAGAGGTCAAAGGTCGAAGCATGTGTGGCAGCAACAGGTGTGACAAGAGTCAGATTTTTTGATATATGGCTACTCTCTTACTCACACACACACACGCGCGCGCACACAAAAACTTGTTGCTTTTTCCTACAAAAGTAAACAGACCATCTCCGGGAACGGCAGCTCTCCGAGGACGCCCTTCCACACAATTCCCAGGATATCTGTCAGGAAGGTTTCTCAAAACACACACACACACACACGTTTCACACTGAAACTGTACTGACTGTACTCACGGATACAAACAAAATCTTGTTTCACAAACTGACCTGGACCAACTGACACACACATGTGTGCGCACACACACACACACACACACACACACACACACACACAAACAGCCATTTGTTGCAGTCATACAGCAGCTGTCTGAGGGAGTATGAATTCACACACTCACATTCTTTACACACCCCATGCCCACTGCCAAGGACACTACAATGTGTGTGTGTATGTGTGTGTGTGTGTTTTCATTCTTGAATAATTATGTCTCGATGTCAATAAGAATAAGATGATTATATCTAGATTGATAACTGCTCCTTAAAACAGCTAAAAAATAAACTTTCAATTAAAAAACTAGAAAACAGCTGAAGACATACCCAGAGTTCAGTTTAAAGCTAAATGTTCAGGGCTGAGTTCCCTAAAAGCACAGTTCAACTGAGGTACTCGTTAAATGGTAGAGCGAGCATCACAATGGACGCTCTCTCTCCCAATTAAGATGATCATAAATTTTATGATTTTGAGAAACTGGGCCCTGATCGTCCACAATACGCATCACGCATCATCAAATATGAATTGTAACTTTCAGTCAAATCTACTCGATGGTTAATCATTTAACAGGCTTGCTTGACATAACGACTTTATCGTCCCTACGTGACATACTACACTGCCACAATATTCAGTGAAGTTTAAGCCAATTATATTATACTACCAGACCTGCCAACCTTTACATATGCTGTGTAGGAGCTAGTTTGAGTCCGGAATCCAAAGTACACTAGTACACTAGTTCATTAACTTGAAATAAAATCTGTCAGTGTATGTTCGATTTAAATAAGATTAGACAAGAATATATTTAACACCAGTTCACTATATTTATTAGGGATGCCCCCAAATATTTCATGCAAAAAACTGTCAAAACTGGCACTTTCAGGTTTTGGCAATAAGATGAAAAAAAAATGGAGGTAGTTTTTGACCCAAAAACATTAAACAAGGCTGCAGCAAAGTGTCAAATTTAACACTTTAAAAATAACGTTAATGGTAATGATGATTAAAAAGTAATTAAATGTGCTGGGGTTGTTTTGACTGGCGCTCTATCCTTCTCGTGTTCATGCTTTGAGAAGAATCAACAGTGAAAATGTTAGGCATATGGACCGATCTGAAAAAGGACTATATTGAAATGTGTTGCGTATTACTGCAGAATCACCTAAAAATCCATCATCCAGAGTGGATGGTGGATTGGAGTGTTCACGATTGCCGCAGCTGCCGCAGTTCCCACCTGCACAGACGCTAATATTAATACACACTCCTGTACTCTCCTTCAGGCTGAAATGGTGGAAATGCTCGTTTTCCTGTCTTTTTTTAGTCTATTGTTTCTGGGTGATTAAATCATTTATCACAATTTTTAAAATGGAGAAGCGTGAGCAGGAAAGAATTAATGTCGCACATCTGATATCTGAGTGCATCCCTAAAAATGCTTATTGACTGAGATGCAATGAATGAAATCAGGATGAACGAAATAGATGAACAAGGACTCAAAAGACTCTCCCTCACGCAGCGAACAGTCAGCTGGCTACACCAGACAGCAAAAGAAGTCTGGCTGCATGTGAAGGATAATTATTTGTTTGAAGTTGTACATAAATTGACACAAAAATGCCACCCCAAAAATGATTATTTTAGGGTTTTAATACTCTTATACCACAACGCTTTGCTAACGATTTTATACTAATGATTTAATGATGTGTCTGTGCTTGAATGTTTATGTTAGATGGTATTTGTTTGTTAGCATTAGCCTCTAACGTGTTATTTAAAGGAGTCCTAGGGGTCAAAAGTGAGTTTAGCAGTCAGTCCCACACAGACACACACTTTATTATCTGTTACATGTTTTTTCACTCCTTCGCAATTTATCTTCTTGTCTGCCACCTCCCCTGCCTGTCCTCCCCCTCGCCAGTCCCCATGCAGGCGCGCGTAATTAGCTCTAAACACAGAGGCCCTCTCGTCCACATCTGGAAGAGGTTTGGGCATGGCAGTTTCCTACCAGCACGGCTAAATATTTAGATTCAGCCTCGCTGTGTATGGCTGAACTCAGAAGGAAGGGGGGAGATGGGGAGAACTAAAAGGAAGAGTGAGAGTGTGCGTGAAGGACAGAATGAAAATATTCTCTTTTTGGCGCAATGATGCCAAACGGCTTGCATATGCAGGTTTGATGTTTATTGGAAGTTTGAGCTGTGATGGAAAACTTGGGCTGCTGTGAAAGCGGAAACTCCAGACACATAAGAACACACAAACACACACAGTCTAAAATTCAACCAGAGGTGAAGATGCGAGGCCACAGTATTTAGTGCTTCATCTCTTGACGAAACCGCAAACTAGACCTGAATCCAGCTAAACTGAGCCCAATAAAATCAGACATACAGAAGTCAGATGCAGGATCTGTGACTTGAAAAGGAATGAGAAGGAAAATGGGAGTGGAAGGATATGGGGCAGGACAGATTATCCCCTTCTTAATCACACACTAACAAATGATAGACAACCACTGATTGGCTTCATTCATACTTACATTCACAGGAATGCACCAAACCCACTTATTTCCATTTTCAAGCAATACCAATATAAGCTTTGGGTACTCGCCGATATCCAACACTGACATCCTCTTATTAACCAAGCCAACTCTCTCCAAGCTTTAGCTGTGATGTTACAGGAAAATTTGTCAACAATAAGGTGGGTTGATGAAGTTGATTATTTTCCAATTACAACACGTCATTAAGAGTTTTATTTCTCTTTTACCACAGAAATCTGTCAACAAACACATCATACTTTTGCATTAAATGTAACAGTTACATTAAATAGAAAAACCTGATGAGAAACTTGCCAGTGTCAACTACTGAGTCCTCAACAAACTACTGAAGAAATTTATATACTAAATAGTTTTTCTTTTTTATAATTTTAACCAAAGAGAGTCCTTGGAGGACTAGTGGTTAGGCCTCGGTGCTCTCGGCGCCGCGACCGAGGTTCGATTCCCAGTCAGGGAACCTACCCTAACCACTGGCGATGCACAAGACAGTGCACTTCCGGTGCCGGTCGCAAGCCCGGATAAAATCAGGGAGGGTTGCATCAGGAAGGGCATCCGGCATAAAAACTGTGCCAAATCAAATATATGCAGACCAATGATCAGCTGTAACGCTAACGAGAGCAGCGGAAGGAAGAACAACATAATTTTAACCGAAGAAATTGATTTTGAATCATGTGTTCCTAATGACTGTATTCATTACGTTTACCTGCACTGTTTGTTGACCAGGATATCATTTTTAGTCTCAATAGAACAAATATATAAAATATTTTTAAAAAACTGTACAAAAGGAAGTGTAGACGGAGTGCTTACATGAATGAATAGTACAGAAAAATGTGACCATGATTCTATATAGAGTTACATTCATTCATAGGCCAGTCCTATAAGTAAAGAAAGAACTTTGCCTAATCTTTACTCAGAGCTTGATCTTGGTGTTATCTAACTGCTATCACGTGAGGAATGCCAGATGTTGGCTTGGTGACCTACAGCTGCTCAGAGAGATAACCCTCAGGCCTAAACTACTGACCCCAAATCTCGTAGCCCTGATCCTCCTGTCCTGAAAAACTTCGATCCTAAAACACAGTCCATGTGGAAACACTTAACCTCAATCGGCTGTGAGTTAAATATGCAGGAACATTCTGGACAGTACTACATTAAATGGTCACCTGTTGACCTGCTCCTGTGTGCATGCTGTGTGTGAAGAGGAGCCAGATGAATATAATGGGTGTGTCCCAAATGCTTACGGTTGATAGAGTACCTCTTACAAAATGTAAAAGAATACAAAGTTTGGATTGGAGTACATAGATACATAAAGAGAGTCACTAATTCAGTTTGAGCTAGCTAAGATCTCTTAAGGCATATGGATGCTAAGCAAATATGACTGCTAGCATCATGTTGTAAGTAATTTAGCTACTATTTACACTTTATTTCACTACATAATCATTTGAATGAGACATTTGTAAACCAATAGCCATTTCTCAGCATCAAAAGATACATCCATGCAGTGCGCTACAGGATATCAGACAGTATAAACACTCACAAAGAACAATTTAAATAGTTTTCCTAGAACATTTATTATTAAAGAATTTATAAAGCCTTGTAAAATCAGATTATCAGATTTATCATAGTATTATTTGGTCATATCGCCCAGCCTAAGCTATACACATCTGGCTAGCTAGCTGGGCCTTAAACGGGTAGCCCACAACTCTTTCTCGACTTCCTTTTATTTGATTTTAAGTTTACGATTGAGCAAAAATATAAAAACACCTGAAGACATGCAACATTAAATTAAAGCTAAACATTCAAGTTCCATGAAAGCGATGCAGAACAAACCTCATCATTAGATGTTAGAGTGACCACCACTAAGAGCACTCACTCTATCACCTAAAACCTGCAGTACTGCATAGTACGGTAAATTTGAGCACACACATTGTCATTATTAACTTGTACAAGGTACTATAACTAAGCAGCTGTGCTGAATTGGGCAAGCTTCTCAGCCATGGAAGCAAGCATATGAACAGGCGTATGTGATCGATGCTAGAAATGGTGCAGACCACTGAATGGTAAAGCAAAGCTGTCACCACGAGTCACGCCAAATCCCATAATACAATATTAAATAGAATCATAAAAATAGAATGCCATACATAGTACTGCAATTCATAGTATTTTACACTGATCTTATTGTGCAAAGATAAAAGATAACCTAACACAGGTACTCCACCAGAACTGTAGTAACTGTAGCTACTGTATTGTTAAATGACAAAGTGCTGTAAATCTATATATCTTCACTAAATTTACATTGTTACCATTTTAATCCATGGCAAAAAAAAAAAAATTCACACTAGACTTGTGATTGACCTCCATTGCTAAATAGGCGTGTTACACCATTGTCTGCATTACCCACAAGTCCAAGTGCCAATTGCCCCAGTACCCTGACCTCATCCACTGACATTCCAGTCCAGCTGACAAGTGAGAACACAGCATGAAGGAGAGAGAGAGAGAGGGAGAGAAAAATGATGTATCCGAAGCTGCACCTGGGATAGTGTCTAGAAATGCCTGAGGAATGTCAGGAAAAACAGAAACATCAACATCACGCCAAACATTCCACATCTGGAGCAGAACCTCAGCACGTCACTAAATCTAGAAGGACAAGAGTGTGGAAAACACTTCCCTTGGAGTGTCAGATACAAAACAAGTTAAATATGTTCTCATTATCTTAATATCCGTTTGCATTTACTCTATCTAATGTTGTATTCCAAAGCACTACACGGCATGCTATATGGCAGTTTTGGTAAATGTTCTCCGTTCTCTCAGTGGGGAGCTTTGAAGGCTGGAAGTGTTTACCTCTAACCCACGCAAGCCCCATAAATGTGTCACGGTGTGCTTTGCACATGTTCAGAAAACAAATAAATGGCATTAAGTGGTGCTGCTGGCTGCACCCATGTTGCCTCCGAACTCCTCCTTCCATCGTACTCTACCTGGGCTCACTCTGTCCCCCTTTTCCCTTTATTTTGAATCCACTTCCTCTGCGTTTTGGCGGTCCAATATGTTGAGCAGATGTGAGTGGTTATTAAGCAGAACCACTATGCTCCATAAACGCTCTGCCCTCGGCCTCCTCCTCTGGGGAACCAATCTATTGGCTTTTCTCTCCTCTGCCTGAGCCGCTTTTTGCCATTTTTCCAATGTTTTCCTTTTTACGACACTCATGTGAAAGCGAGCACCGCTCCCGCTGAGGAGGGGAGCACTGGGGTATTGTGGGAAGATGGAGGACGGCAGGGAGGCATGGGGGTTTAAAATGGTATAGGGTGTTAATGTCAAACACATGAACAATCCCAGTTTTTATGTTTTAATGCATACATTTTCTGGCCCAGTGGAGATGTGGTTTCCCCAACCAGAACGGAACTGAAGTGATTTTGCACAGTTTCCGTGACATGCTGAAATAACAAAAAAAAAAGGTCCTGAATGTCAGAAACAGACGAAAATATGCAAACAGCAAAATCCGAACCAAATCAAATATTTTGACTCCTGCACAGGCTTCCTTCCTCCCAGACTGGAATTAAGTGCATGTTTTGCCCATTAATGATAGCGTGTAAACAGAGAAATGGTCAGAGCTTCAATCATAACCCATAAATGCTTGTATTTACTTAAGAGTGAAACAAAAGAAATCACATATCAGGCCAGTGCGTCTGGTCAGCCTTCCTTCCTGAAAAGAGGGCACTGGAGATAGGCCTGTTAAAAACAGAATGCAGCATCATAGCAATGGGAAAGGAAGCAACCAGGCGGCCATTAAAACAGGAGAGAGAGAGAGAGAGAGAGAGAGAGAGAGAGGGGATCAGAAATGTGTTTCTGTTTAGCCCCCTTCAGTATAGCCAAGTCAGCTGAAGACTGGAGACGGGGCAGAATGTGTGTATCTGTGTATGTGTGTGTGAAGGGGGTGGGTTTTTAGGGTGTGGGAGGGGTGCTGACCAGGGGCACATTTCCTTTCTCTCCACACTGAAACACAGATGGAAAATGACAGAGCTGTGATACAGAGACTTCATTCTCCGCTCCAAAGAGCTGCAGTTCACAGCCTGAAATAAAGTCCCCAATCAAACCCAACCTGAAAGCCCCATTCTATATCCTCTACCAGTGCCAGGACAGGGGCTAAATCCTTCAACAAGAACCATGCTATTGTGTTGACATGCTGTACAACACATGTCCACAGGCTATAATCCAAGATAAAAAAAAAAAAAACCTACAGGCTCTGGTTGCAGCTCAGACAGGGACGCTGACTATTAGGTAGATAGTATCAAAGTAGCAAATCATGTAAGTACTGTAAGGCTAGTTCTTAATCAGTAGATATATCTGACACTAGATTGCCGAAACAGGTCATCCACACTGGTGTGTTGGAGTGTGTTATTTTGTTGACACACTCATCCATAAACTTCACAGTGACTCATATGTAAAGGCATTATATCATTGAGTCAACGCTGATGTACTTGCCAATAAAATATAACGTGATACAGGCTATTATTAATAAAATTCCATTACTGGTAGTACTGGTGGCTTGATTGTGGGGGTGTAGATCTTGGTAGCTGTAGAGTTGAGAGTTGGTGGTGGTGTTGGCATCATCTGAAGAGTTGGTGTTGGTGGTAATGCTGGTATATTTGGTTATTGTATAGTTGTTACTGGTGGAGATGCTGGTACTGTTGGTATCTATGATCATTAGAGAGCTCTTGGTGGTGCTGGTAATGTTGGTATATTTGGTGATTGTAGAGTTGTTGGTGGTGGTAGTGAGACTGGTATTGTTGGCATCTTTAACAGTTATAGAGTTCTTGGTGGTGTTGGTAATATTAATGGTATCTTTGGTGGTTGTAGAGCTGTTGCTGGTAGTGATGGTGGTAGTAGTGAAACAAGTGTTGTTTGGGTGGTTGTGGAAGTGCTGTCAATATTCATAGTGGTGCTATTGGTAGTGGTAGTAGTGAAAGCAGTGCTGTTTTGAGTGATGGTGGTGGTGATAGTGGTCGCAGTGGTGCTACTGGTAGTGCAGCGGGTGCTGGTATCACTGAAAGCAGTGTTGTTTTGGGTGATGGTGGTAGTTGTCGCACTGTCGGTGGTCGCAGTGGTGCTATTGGTAGTGCAGTTAGTGGTGGTATCAGCGAAAGCAGTGTTGTTTTGGGTGATGGTGGTGTATATTTGGAAGGGTTTTAACAAATGACTGAGGATAGTGACTGTCAATGACTAAGCATAAGACACAAAAATCTCTGCTCTCACACTAAGGATGAGAAGATTTACCTCACAGTATCGTTGCTAATGTTTCATAAAATATCGGTAGCAATTTCTAATTTAAAAACTGTAGTACTGACCATCCCTACACATGTGCGCGCGCGCCCACACGTCATTTCACGAGCATAGCGACCCTCAGACAAGCGTTTTGGAACCATTATTTCTGAAAGATCAGACAGCAGAATCAAAATAGTTACT